AGAGAGGAGACAAGGAGACACTTGCAAGTTTCTTTGATCTCCTGGTGGGGTGTATATATAAAACTGCTGCGGGGCCTCGCAGCTGTGGGGGCCCCCCAGTCTGGGGGCCCCCAGCCAGGGCCCCCCCCCCTCATTGTGGGTTAGGGGGGCCCCGGTGTCTGCTGCTGCTGCTGCAGAGACACCTGGAGCTGAGGAGACAGACAATGATGCATCGAGGGCCTCAGGAGACAAGAAACCCCCTTCAATAGCATTCACGCTCAAGGGGACAACCCCCTTTTGCAGCCCTGCTGCTGCTGCTGCTGCTGCTGTTGTTGTTGCTGCTGTAGCTGTTGCTGAGGGTGCTTCAGGCTCTGTTGCTGCAGCAACAGCTGCTGCTGCTGCTGTGGTGGTCTCCGATGAAGACGCCTCGCTGCACGCAGCAGCAGAAACGCTGGGGGAGTCATGGATCGAGCAGGCTCTTGCTGCTGCTGATGCTGCTGCTGTTGCTGCTGCTGTTGCTGCTGCTTCTAAAGTGGCAGATGGAGGCCTTGGCTTTCTCACAGACCTCACGAGGGTTGTTCGTGCTGCTGCTGCTGCTGCTGTTGCTGCTGCTGCTGCCCTGGAGCCTTCAGGTGTATGGACTCCGCGGCTCCTTCGTGCGCCCGTCTCACGACCCCTCCCAGGCTGCCCCTTTCGGAGACGATTGTGCTGCTGCTGCTGCTGCTGCTGCCGCTTGTTTAGCTGCGGTTGCTTCGGGTATTGCTGCTGCTGCTGGCGTTGCTGCTGCTGCTGCTGCTGGCGCTGCAGCGCGGTGTCTTTAGCTGTTTGTTCTTCCAGTTGTTTCTCAAGTTGATCCCTAAGAGCAATAAGCTCGTGGAGACGGCGAAGGGCAGTTTGGTATTGCTGCTGCTGCTGCTGCTGCTGTTGCTGCTGCTGCTGCGGATACTGCTGATTCCTCGATGCGCTCCAGCTGGTTAGGGCCTCTACTTGCTGCTCTATCTGCTTCAACTGCTCCAGCTGTTGCCAGTGCCGGTGCTGCATCTGCTGCTGCTGCTGCATCTGCTGCTGCTGCATCTGCTGCTGCTGCATCTGCTGCTGCTGCATGCCACAGTGCAAGAGGGTAAGAGAGGGCAGTCTCTCCAGAGCGCCTTCCGGTGTCGCTCGACAGGTGGATCTGTGGTGTCTCTGCAGGTTTTGCTGCCTCACAAGATGCTGCTGCTGCTGCTGCAGCAGCTGCTGCTGCTCGAGCAGCTGCATCTGCTCCATACGTGAAAGGAGACCGTCTCCTATTGCTGCTGCTGCTGCTCCTGGCAGCTGCGGCTCCCACGCGATGGTGCTTCGACTGAGTACTGCTTTCAAGGTAGCTTCCTTCTGCTGCTGCTCCTGCCGTTGCTGTTGCTGCTGCAGCTCTTGCCTCTGCTGCTGCTGCTGCTGCTGCTTGCGGAGTTCCACCACTGGATTTGGGGCTTCTCCTTGCAGCCGCCGCTGCAGCTGCTGCTCGGGCTGCTGCAGCAGTTTGTCCTGCCCCATTTGCTGCTGTAGATGGTCTTGCTTATGCTGCAGCTGCTGCAGCGGAATCTCCCTCTGCTGTTCATGCGGGCGCACGTCTTGCTGTTGCGGTTGCTGGTGTTGCTGCTGCTTCTGTTGCTGCTGCTGCTGGTGTTTCTGCTGCTCCTGTTGCGGCTCCTGGTGCTGCTGGTGTTGCTGCTGCAACCGTTGTTGTTGTTGTTGCTGCTGCTGCTGTATCTCCTGCTGTCGACTTTGCTGTTGCGTCTGAAGCTGGCTAAAAGGTAGAGGCTGCACTTGATCCTTTTGTATCCTGTGTTGCAGCTGCGCTTGCTGCTGCTGCTGCTGCTGCTGCTGCTGCTGTTGCTGTCTGGTTTGTCCTTGCAGCAGCAGCGTGTGCGAGGGCCTTCCCTCTCTGCAGAGCTGCTGCTTCAGCACTCCTTGGAATCTATGAGGGATAATTGTTGCTTCGGTTTGCGGTGTACGTACACCGTGAATATCAGGAGCAGCAGCAGCAGAAGCAGATGCAGCAAACACTTCGCACCACCGCTGCGTCGCTGCAGCGGTTGGCGACTGGGGGGGCCGACTGTTGCTGCCAGATGCAGCAGCAACAGAAGCAACAGAAGCAGCAGCAGCAGAAGGTCTGAAAGACCCTTTCTGCCGCAGCGCTTGCAGCAGCTCGGGCACCTCCCCCAGGCGGACTGTCCAGGCTGGCTTCTGCTGCTGCTGCTGCTGCTGCTGCTGCTGCAGCGGGGCAAACCAAGGGTGCTTGAGTGCTTCTGTCAAGGGCAGCCTGTCTCTTCCTTGAGGCTTTAAGAGCTGCAGCAGCAAATCGAAGAAAGACGGAGACAGAGAGGAGACACCCATCTCCTCCCAGACCTCTGCTGCTCTCCCTGTCCACAGCAGCAAACACCGTCTCCACGGCTCAGCCCCTGCATTTGTTGCTGCACCTGCTGCTGCTGCTGCTGCTGCAGCTGCTGCTGCTGCTGCAGAGGAGACAGAAAACAGCTGCTTTGCTCCGGCAAAGGTGCGCAGCAGGCCGCCGGCGGTCCGCGTGGAGTCATGAGAATCTGCTGCAGCTGCAGGAGCACCCGATGTTGCTGCTGCTGCTTCTGCTGCTGCTGCTGCAGTAGGTCCTGCTGCTGCTGCTGCTGCTTCTGCTGCTGAAAGAGCTTCGAGGGGCGCAGCACGATTGAAGAGGGGCTGCCCCGTCAACAAGTAAAAGGCGCTCCAGCCAAAGCACCAACTGTCTACGCGAGAAGCCAAATAAGGGAGCCCGTTGCTGCTGCTGCTGCTGCTGCTGCTGCTGCTGCTGCTGTCCTCTAGAGGAAAACTCTCAGGAGGCCGGAAGGCCTTACCAAAGCTTCCTGTGTAAGGGGTGAGCTCCTCTTTTGCTCCTGGGCAGCAGCAGTGCAGCAAACCGTCGGCTGCTGCTGCTGCTGCTGCTGCACCGCAGCAGCAGCTAGGCGACGGCTTCACCCGGAAGCAAGCAGCCTGTCCTGGGTCGCAGATCTTCACAACAACTTCCCAGTCTTCATTGGGGAGTCCCTCCTCGTCTTGCTGCTGCACCTTGCTGCTGCTGCTGCTGCTGCTGCTGCTGCTGCTGCTGCTGCTGCTGGTTGCTGGGGGCGAGAGGAAAAGGAGACAGTTTTCTAAGCTAAAGTCCTGCATGGCAATGCCACGGCGATGCAACGAACAGAGACCGAGCAAAGCCTGAAAGAGGAGACGGCGCCCCACACCTTCGGAGACACCTCCGCAAGTCTCTTCACTGCTGCTGCTGCTGCTGCTGCTGCTGCTGCTGTTGCTGCTGCTGCTGCTGCAGTAGGCGGAGGAGGGTGAAAGCCTTGAGCCTGTTTTTTTCATGGGCGAATGCAGGCCGTTGCTGTTGTTGCTATTGCTGCTGCTGCTGCTGCTGCTGCTGCTGGATGCAAGTTTGTCTGCTGCTGAAAAGGGGCTCAGTGCAGCAGAAGCAGCGCGGCGTACATTGATGGGCAAGGCCCCAGCAACAGCATTGGCGATGGCTCCCCCTGCAGCAGAGAGCGCAGCAGCAGCAGCAGCTGCTGCTGCTGCTGCTGGAGACGGCGAACGCACTCTCCGCTGGGCACAGTGGGGTGCAGCAGCAGCAGCAGCTAGCTGCAGCAGCTCCAGCATGTCTCCTCCATGCGCCCATCGAGAAGTAATATAAAAGTGTCTCTCATCCTCAAAGGCCTGTAGACACAGCAGCAAAGTACACCCTTACAAAACTGCTTCTGCTGCTGATGCTGCTGCGGCTAAGTACCATGCTAGGGACTCATACGCCGAGGAAGCAGCAAGCAGCTGCGGCTTCAGCAGCAGCAGACAGCAGCAAGCGGAGCAAGCACAACAGCAGCAGCAGCAAACCCACCAAAACCACCACCACCACCAACAGCAGCAGCAACAGCAGCAGCAGCAGCAGCAGCAACACCAACGTACTTCGAGAGGTGAATGAACATGCGGGAGCCCCTGCAGGCATTCAGAGAAGAAGACTTCAGCAAGCGGCGTCTCCGGGACTAGGTGCAGCAGCAAGTGCAGCTCTTTGTCTCGACATGCTGCTGTTGCTGCTGCTGCTGCTGCGGCTGCTGCTGCTTCACTGGAGACCGGCCTTCCCTCTGCTGCTGCTTGAGCTTGCTCCAGCTGAAGCTGTACTAACCTCTTCTCCACAGCTTTCACCGCCACTCGCATGAACCTGTGTCTGCTGCTGCTGCTGCTGCTGCTGCTGCTGCTGCTGCTGTTGCTGCTGCCAAGCAGCAGCAAACCCTCATACAGAGGGCCAAAGAGAGTTTTCTGGTGCAGCCGCAGCAGCACGTAGCGGCGACCTGAAGGAGACAAGAGACACTCAGGGGAGTCAGACTCGCTGCTGCATGCTACCTTCCCCCGAGTAACGCTGCTGCTGCTGCTGCTGCTGCTGCTGCCAACAACATTTAGCTCCGTGACGCTGGGGCTGCGGCGGTTTCGCCTGAAGTGCGGAGACATCGACAGGGCAGGTGGCAGAACGAGCCGGCTCTGCTGCTGCTGCTGCTGCTGTTGCTGCTGCAGCTGTTGCTGCTGCAGCTGCTGCTGCTGCAGCTGTTGCTGCTGCAGCTGTTGCTGCTGCAGCTGCTGCTGCTGCGGCTCGTGTTGCTTCTGTTGCTGCTGCTGGTGAGGACTCCCACAGCTGCCTGGAAGGAATGGGGGCCTTGCTTGTGGCCCATCAGTTGCTGCAGCAGCAGGAACAGCTGCTGCTGCAGCTGCAGGCGGTGCTGTTGCTGCTGCTACGCCTTCCCCTGCATGCGTTGCTGCAGCTGCTGCAGCAAACGAAACGGTTTGCTGCTGCAGCTGCGGCATGCGCTGCGGAGCTGCCTCCCCCGGAGGCCTTCGTATTTGCTGCTGCCTCCAGGCTGAGGTCTCCGAGTTTATATCTTCAGAGCTAAGGGGAGATCTCATGAGTGCAGCAGCAGCAACAGCAGCACGAGTTGCTGCTGCTACTGCTGCTTTTGGTGTTGCTGCTGTTGCTGTAGCAGTTGCTGCTGTCATAGGCGGAAGGCTGCGGCGCGTGCAGCCTGAAGCAGCAGCTTCGATAGACAGAGAAGTACGTCTAAAGACATGCTGCTGCATCAGCTGCCGTGGCTGTTGTTGCTGTTGCTGTTGCTGCTGCTGCAGGTGTTGCTGCTGCTGCTGCACCTGTCTCCCTAGCGTCGCGCCGCAGTTTATAGAGGGAGACAATTCTTTGGTTTGCTGCGCAGAAGCAGTCTCTGCTGCTCCTGCGCCCTCTGCTGCTGCACTTGCTGCTGCTGAAGTTGGTGCTGCTGCAGTTGCTGCTGGTGCTGCTGCAGCATCTGAAGCCTTGTTTGCTGCTTCCGTTGCTGCTGGATTGTTATTAATTGGGTAGCAGAAGGGCGTGGCAGCCTCTGCGAAGTGTTGCTGCTGGTGTGGCTGCTGTTGCTGCAGTTGCTGCTGCCCTTGCTGCTGCTGCTGTAGTTGCTGCTGCTGCTGCTGCGGGTTATGCTGCAGAGAATCACGAAGGGAGCGTTGACTGCTGCAGTGTAGTTGGGGCCTACGGAGGAGACAGGGCTTCAGTGGATACACCGGGAGGCTCTGAATGGACTCTCCCCTTATAAGCTGCTGCTGCTGCTGCTGCAGTTGCTGCTGCCCTTGCTGCTGCTGCTGCAGTTGCTGCTGCCCTTGCTGCTGCTGCTGCAGTTGCTGCTGCTGCTGTTGCTGGTGCTTCTGGCTCTGGTCCGGCAGGTTGCCAGCGGCGTTGTTTCTGTTTAAGGGCTTCAATCGCGCCCTCTCATCCAGCTGCTGCTGCTTGTACTGCTGCTGCTGATTTCGCTGCTGCTGCTGCTGCTGCTGCTGCTGCTGCTGCTGTGATGGCGGCCGCTGGGGGCCGTTGTAGCTGCTGCGTGCTGCTGCTGCATCTCCATAGAAGACCTTCGTAGAGACTGAGCTGCTGCTGCTGCTTGCAAACGCAGGCACCAGGCGTGCGCGGGAGTCCTGCTGCTGCTGCAGCTTCTGCTGCTGTTGCTGCTGCAGCACCCGCTGCTGCTGCTGCGACTGCGGAGTTTCCATGAGGACAGTTTGTGGATAACTAGGGTTTGTGCATGCATGCAGCAGAGTTGCAGCAAAGGCCCTGGGCCCTCTGACTCACAGGGTCACCTGCAGCAGCAGGGGGGAAGTCTTCTGCTGCTGTTGCTGTTGCTGCTGCTGCTGCTGTTGTTGTTGCTGCTGCTGCTGCAACAACTGCTGCAGATGCTCCTATAGGCAAGGAAAGGAAGAAAAGTCTCCAGCGCGAGGGCGCATGCTATCACCACCCCGCTGCCGACTGCGCCCCCTGCTGCTGCTGCTGCTGCTGCTACTGCTGCTGCTGCTGCTGCTGCTGCAAGGGAGGATCTATTGTGAAGCCACCTTCTTTGCAGTTGAAGAGGCAGCAGAGATGGAAAGATGTTTGCTGCGTGTCAGACTTCGCTTGTCGCTACAGCTGCTGCGGCAGCTGCAGCGGTGCAGCCAGCTGTCGATGCTGCAGCAGCAACAACAGCAGCAGCAGCAGCAGCCGCAGCAGCAGGTATTGCACTGCAAGCTCCTCTAGGAAGAGGGAGAAAAGAGATTCAATTAATAAAAAGAGACAAGAGAGTGGTGAAGACTGTCAATGGGCTTAGATCCTTCAAGGAGCAGCAGAGACAGCAGATGCATAGGGCGCAGCAGACGCAGCGGCCTCAGCAGCAGCAGCAGCAGCAGCAGCTGCAGCAGCAGCAGCAGCAGCAGGGCTGCTGTTGTTGCTCTTGCCGCTTCTACTGCTGCAGACCCAGCGAAATTAAAAGCCAGCTAAGTGGATATATGGGGAATATGCAGAAAAAAACTTCTTGCATCAGGTGGACAGGTGAACAGCTGCAGCAGCAGCAGCAGCAGCAGCAGCAGCAGCAGCAGCACAGCTGTTGTCTCGGCGACCGCAGCTTCAGGGCACAGAGCATCTTTAATCCAAAGTGAGTTCTTCTCTTGCCTCCTATTTTTATTCTGTTAGAGATAGATAGTCGAGAGTGTTTTAGGGTTTAGGGTTTAGGGTTTAGGGTTTAGGGTTTAGGGTTTAGGGTTTAGGATTTCAGTCACGGTGGGCAATTGCTCCGACCAGCAACAGACACCGTCGCGAATGCTCAGGGTTTAGGGTTTCGTTATTAGGGTTTAGGGTTTAGGGTTTAGGGTTTAGGGTTTATGCGTCGGTGTCTCGGCCACCAGAATCTGTCGCTGCTGCCGCCCCACGGGAGCAGCCTTCGCATAGAGAAGCTGCAGCGGCAGTTGCAGCAACAGCTGCAGCAACTACAGCAGCAGCTGCAGCAGCTACAACAATAGCTGCAGTAGCTGCAACAATAGCTGCAGCAGCTAAAGCAGTAGCTGCAGCAGCTACAACAACACCCGCAGCAACTACAGCAACAGCTGCAACAACGACAGCAACACGCGCAGCTGCTGCAGCAACAGCTGCAGCAACGACTGCAGCAACATCTGCAGCAACAGCTAGAGGAGCAGCTGCAACAACTACAAGAAGCGCTACAGCAGTAACAACTACAGCAGCAGCTGCAGCAGCAGCTATTTCTTCACCTTGCCTGCCCCACCTACTATCATTTCTACGTATTCTAACGAGGCTTCGCTTGCTGCTGCTTCTTTTATACGTGCCGGTGCTGTTGCTGCGAGTTGCTGGGGAGAGGTTCTGCTGCAGTTTGTTTGTGAAAGACAAACGAACTCAGAAGCAGCAAATCGCCCCACAGGCGCTTCGCCAGTTGCTGAAGTGTACATACACCGTAGAGGAGCAGCAACTCCAAAGAAGTGATATGTCCCGCTGCTAGATAGATCCATAGAGCAAATGAAGAGCTACGGAGTTGCATAGGCCTGTAGTGAAGACAGATAGAGGGGACGGAGACAGAGACAGTGACAGAGACAGAGTGCAGGGAGAAGCCTTCACGTGGCTGAGGGCAGTCATACACTGCAGGAGGGCTACTCAAGATGAAACTCTCTAGAAAGCAGGTGACAGCTTCGAGGTCTCCTGAGTGCAGCAGCGAAAGAATATGGAGATAATGTGGGGAGGGGACAGCTTTCTATGAGTTGAACGACACCTTAATACAACTCTTGCTGCAAGGCAAACTCAGATGCCAGCAAAACGAAGCCCCCTATGCTGCATGCGCCACCACCTTAGGCAATTTTAAAACACTTTGCTGCCCTCAGAAGCCCCGTTGCAAGCCAGCAGAAACATATATGCAACCTCTCTCAGACTGCCGTTGCTGCATATGTTCTCCTCTCCTGCTTAAATAGCGTAGCCCTTGTGCGTCTGGCTATCCAGCAAGGGTGGGGGGAGAGAGGGGAGGGAAGGCATGAATCAAAAGGCAGAGAAAAATAGTATAAGAGGAGGAGGAGGACAGGCGCTTGATGGCGCTGCTTCTATTGCTGCTGCTGCTGCAGAGTGAAGACACTGGGTGCTGCTCCGGTCCTCAGCGTCAACAGCAGCAGCAACATAATGATGCTTACAACTACGTCCTTGTAAGCTGTTCTAATGTAGAAGAAGGTATCATAGTAATATTATTCATTTCTTTGTAGTTATTGTTTGCTTATCTTCGTATCCTCTTTGCTACCTACGAAGTGCAGCAGCAGACACCACGCCAATGAAGAGACAGACAGATTAAAGCTCCTTGCCGCAGCTTAAGACTCCCCTCCTTTCTCTTCTTAGCTTGCATCAAGATGAAAGAGTAGCCCTTGAGCATTAATAGGAGCTACGAGCTCCGGGGTTAGACTGTACCGTGATAGAGAACTGCTGCTACATTAGAGCAGCTTAAAATTATGTAGTTTTATATTTAAGCTTTGTTCGCAAAATGTGTTGTTGGCTGCTGACGCTAAAGACTGCGACTACCATCTCCTTCGCCGTCTCTATCACTGAGCTGCAAGCTGTGTCTGAGATAGGGCATCTCCTTGTCTTATAAATTTGTTGTTTTCTCTTGCTCGCGCAGCACCGCTCAACTCTCCATTTCGCTGTCTGTTTATTTGGGCCCGCTGTCTCTAATTGCCTGACTTCATTTGTTGTAGCGGCAACAACATACCTCTTTGCAGCTAACTAACGCATAGCAGCTTCACAGCAAAGCTACATCTCCTTTTATTGCTTACAGCAAGGAGCACTGCTGCAACTGTCTCCATTGCTAGCTTACACTAACAACGGAGACAGCTGCAGCAGCTCGGCTTGCTTGCAAGCTCCTTACTATACCTGGGTAAGCATTCATACACCAGCTTACAGCAGACCAAGGCGCATCCGCCTCCTCTCTCTCTTCTAAGCAGCATAAGCCCTCGTGTGCGTATAGAGATAGAAGCAGTAAGAATAGATAGAGTGTGCTGCTGCTGCCCCTGCAGCAGCAGGAGACACCCTCTGTGCTGTTTCATTTACCTACACGTAGCGTCTCTCCTGCTGCTGCTCTCTGTAAGCGTGTGTGCAGCTGGTACAGTGTCTATCTGCGCGTGTGCTGCTGCTGCTGATGCTGTTGCTACTGCTCCTCTAACTACTACTGCTAGTGCTGCTAATACTGAGTTTCCTGCTGCTGCTTTTGCTGCCGAAGCCGCTGCTGCTGCTTTCCCTGCGTTTTTTGCTTTCTTCACTCCACTAACTTGAGCTGTACGTACACCCCAGTTCTTCTTTTAGGCGACGCCCTTCTTGATAATCGTTTCTCTTTGCCATCCCTACATTTATCTTCTTCGCTCTTCTTGTCTCTTCTTTGCCTTCATATGTGCGTCTTTACGCCTGCCCCGCACATCTTTATCTTGTCTCCCTGCGTCTATGGAGACGCAGGGAGACAAGATGAGAAGACAGCGCTTGAGGCCTTGTTGTTGTATCTTCAGCAGAATACTTCTCTAAGGATTCAGTGTCTCTGTTTCGATTGTCCCTTTTTGTATTTATTGCCTACTGTCTCCATCTGTTATTTCTCTGTCTCCGTGCTTCTTTTTATATCTCTCTGCTTATGCAGTTTCTTTTGTCTCTGTTTGTTTGCATGCGCCTTCAACTGTGTCTTTGCTTCATCTCGATCTCGCTGTCTCCTTCCTTCTGTCTCCTTTTGTCTCCCCTTATTTATTTCTGTCTCCTTTTACCCTTTTCTCTCTGTCTCCTTTTCTGTCTCCGGGTGTCTCCGTCCTGCTGTTTAAAGAGACAGACAGCAGAAAATAAAGAGGGAGAGATAAAGCGGCCACCTGTACCCTCTTACTTATTTATCATCACACTGATGGTTTAGGGTTTAGGGTTCAGGGTTTAGGGTTTAGGGTTTAGGGTTTAGGGTTTAGGGTGGTAGTCTCCCGCGGAGTGTAGGAAGTATCGTCTCGCTCTCCCCACAGCAATTTATCTGATACACCCCAGCCACCTCGGGGTTTATCTCTAAAACCCTAAACAATAAACCCTAAACCCTAAACCCTAGGCACAAGTTTTCTTTAGTGTTTCCTCTCAGCCTCCAGAGCAGAGGCAGGGCCTCACCAACACACTGGGGCGGGTCTTGTGGGCGTTGGGGTGTACGTACACCTCAGATTTTATTTTAACTTATTATTCTGTCTCTTTATTGCAGCAAGAAACCTCTATTGGGAGCCCTTCCGCTGGCTGTCTCTTCTCCCTGCTGCTGCAGGGGGCCCCCCAGCAGCGGGCTCTGTTGCTGCTGCTGCTCCTGCTGCTGCTGCTGGTGGAGCTGCAGAGCTGCTGCTGGGATCGTCCGATCCCAACATCAATTTTTAGACAACATGAGGCGTGGAAGCCTTCAGCCGCGTGTGCGGCTGCTGTTGCTGCAGCTGCTGCAGCTGCTGCTGCTGCTGCAGCAGCAACAGGGCAGTTGCCGCCTTCTCGTTAGTTCTAGAGGTGCCTCCTCTCAGACGTTTGGTGTAACTTCAACAACAGGGAAAGCAGCAGCAACAGCAGCAGGAGCAGCAGCCGCAACAGCAGCAGGGGGAGCACCAGCAACAACAGCAGCAGCAAAGGGCGACAGCAGAATTGCTGCATTTCTGGGGCCTCGCTGCAGCTCTTCAGAAGCACTAGAAGAAGATGGAGAATCCGCAGCAGCAGCAGCAGCAGCAGCAGGAAGCGAGCTGCAGCGCCGCGGATTGTCTTGTTTGGGTTTCATGGGTGGATGGAGCCGTTCAGCTCATATGCAGCAGCAGCAGCAGCAGCAGCAGCAGCAGGGGTTTCTAAGGAGTTTGCTTTCTTGTGGTGCGGTGAAGTCTGTGTGGGGTGGCTGCCGACGCGCATTTGGGGTGTATATGCAGGTGCCCCTTGTTACCCGTTGCTGGATATCAGGCTCTTTGCTGCTGTCTTTATTAGCAGCAGGAGAATCTGCACTGCTGCCAGCAGAGACGCTCTGCATGCACTGGGGCAGGTGTATACGCAGCTTCGAGGCGTGGCGTCCCTTTACTGCAGCAATGTTTCAGGGGCCCCTATCATTTAATACTTTAACTCGAGTGTATGCAGCATATGAAGTAATAAGACAGCTGGAGAGCAGCGAGAGACAAGCGCTGCTGCAGCAGCCCTGCAGCAATCCACACAAACTGTCTCCTGGACGCCGCCGCATGCTGCAGCAGCAGCAGCAGCTGCTGCTGCAGCAACAACGACAGCTGCAGCGGCTGTGGAGTAGTAATAATCCCCAGGCATTTGCTGCTGCTGCAGCTGCTGCTTCTGGCAGCGCGCATTTGCTGCAGTTCCTGCTGCTGCAGTGTCTCCTTCTAGCAGCAGCTAGCAGCAAGCTAGGAATGCCTTTCTATGGGAGCTCTCTAACTGCTGCTGCGGTGTATGTACTCAGCAAACATACACCCAACAGGTTAGTACAGCTTTCATTTGGGGTTAGAATGCCTCACTGGGCTCTTCCCTTCTCTCTTGCTGCTATCGATGTGCTGCAGCAGCAGCAGCTAAAAGCTGCTGTCCCCGTCCTCTTAGGCATCCTCACGGGGCATATATTCTACCTCTTGAAGAAGGTACTTACAACTTACACGCCTACCCGAGGGTTTAGGGTTTAGGGTTTAGGGTCTAGGCTTTGGGGGTTCAGGCAGAGAGCATCGGCCCTGGGGTTTACGCCTCCCGCGCAGCAGCAGCAGCAGTAGTAGCAGCAGCAGCAGCAGCAACAGCAGCTAGCGTTGAAGGGGATTCTACGCCAGGGCTTGGGGTTTAGCTTGAGGGTTTAGGGTTTATAGGGTGAGGGTTTAAGTTTGTGGTTTGCAGTGCCCTGAACGCTTCCGGATGCTTCTCTCTTTCGGGTTTAGGGTTTAGGGTTTAGGGTTTAGGGTTTGTGGTGTATGTGCAGGTGGTGCCTGAGAAGACAGGAATTCAAGCGCTTCCCTTCCCCTCGCTAACTTATCGTTTGCTGCTGCAGCACAAGGCGCGTGCTGCTGCTGCTCCTGCTGCAGCGCCAACCTTCAGAAGCAAATACCTCTAGGCAAACTGGCGGCCTGCAAGAGGAGCAGCAGCAGCAGCAGCAGCAGCACAGAGTCTGTGCTGCTGCTGCTGCAGCGTCCGCTGCAGCAGCTAGCCA